ACGACCTGTGAGCCTAAAAAAAAAAAAAAGAAAAAACACAGAAACACATATCAATTTGTTAATCCGAATAGTATCTTCCTGAATCCCGAGCTCAACACCAACTGCACCAACCTGCAAAAAGACGTCTACTACTGTGTGCAGCCCGTTGGATCGATATCAAGTTATTCAGGCCACCCAGGAAGCACCACCGACAACTTTAGTAAGGTCTCGATGACATCGGTTCCGTCATCCGAGGGCAGACCCGACTATGCCAACCCCAGCTCCCACTCTAGCTCACACGCCGTCATTTCGCTTGCTAAAGATACTAGAAAGGATTGTTACGAGTATGTGAAAGAGATCCTGACAGCTTACACCAGCTTACACTTGAACTAGCTACCTTTGGCTCCCCAATATCACGAACAACGCACTCGCAAATTGCTGGAAGCTTGCCAACACAGTTGGTATTTCGGCTGAAGTAGGCTTGTTCTCCCTTTTTTTTTAGGTTTCATTTGAATCGGAAGCTGACGCCCAGACAAGGAATTGATTTTGTGGAACCCGTCGCTCGAGAAGAAAGCGTCGACTAGGTCTTCCAAGGCGGTCGTTAAACGGACGACCTCGCAGGCAAGTGCAAGTGCCAGTGTCGCCACCGATGACTACGGATAACCCTGCACAATTGCGGCCAGTCTGTCTTACTTCGTGGAGCTTTCCAAGCCCACTAAGTCGCGGACCTCCTCGAAACCTGCTTCCACAAGGGTAACCTCAACGGCTATGTCGATGCCTATATCCAGTTAGTTCGCCAAAGAGCTTGGCTCTTGACAATTGCTAATATTTGATACAACTCAGGCGCTTTAAAAAATAAGAGCTGGGTTGGATTATGCGAAACCCCGTGTTTGTGCATTCGCCCATATTGCGAAGGGTCACTAGATTGTATTGGAACGTGTTTACTATGTTCACTTTGAATTCATTATATATAATTGAAAAGCCTTAATATTGCGGATCCGAGGCATTGTACTCCCAGTTCTTATCGTAGATCCCCATATCTTGCAATTCTCCCCCAGGAACATTAGGTCGTTCGAAAGAAGGCTCAAATGCATCCCTTTGGGTTCCAATTCCCCATGGAATGTCTAGCGGCGTCCGTTCAAAGAACGGATTTTGTCCCTCTCCATAGAGATATTCTTGCACCTGCTTTTCAAGCCAAACTGCATGGCCAATCTGTGGATTCTGCAGCTTCAGCCCAATCGAAATAGCTGGTTGCGAGCGCGCATCTCTGTCCGCCCACAGTGTATTTTCGCGTATCATTGTGCGCATCTCTTTAAGCAAACCATGCCAATCTCCACCTTCATCAAGGAACTTCAGCATGCTCAGCTTGATAAACCGGATGGATTTTGGTAATGCACAAAGGAACGATATGACGTCGGACTGTGTCACTAGGAAGCGCGATAGTTCAAAACAGCGTAGTTTCGGCCATTTATCCACTGGAATAAAGCTCTGTAAAGGAATGAGACGCACAGGTAATCCAGCGCTATATTCGTCATCATAGGGATTGTTGATAACTGTAGTATGCAAGCTAAAATCTTCCATGTCCTTTGCCTTATCTAATGTACGGCGAAGTCGTCCGTTCAAAAATGATCGCCAGCACGCATCGAGTTGATCATCACTTTCTCCACCTATCAGAAAGTTGATAGCTAGATGACGGAAACCCGGAATTTTCAGTACTGTCGCAAAGTTGTCGTACTCCTCGCAGGGCTGATCAAAGATCGTACAATTGAGTCCAGTCGGCAGATGATTGGAAGACATAACCAGGTCGGAAACTGAGTTCGGTTCGTTCGCGAGTACGCGTAGTACAGAAATAAAGCCGCGGTACCTTTCTCTGAGTTCAGGATACTCTTTCCAATGGTATGCTATGGGTGGTTCAACTGGGCCATTCAACCATCCCCGTGGAATAGGGTAATTAAATCCCTTTGGAAAAGCGCGAATCATAGGCGTAGGATAGAGCGGAGTAAAGAGATGGCCGTGGGCCGAAGGCGTGATAGTGACTCTCTTAAGAGCAGGGAACTGTTTCGCGCCGTATAAGAAGGCGTGCATGTCACTATTATCAGCCAGCACATCCTTTTGCTGGCCTAACAAGTGCTGGTAATACTTCCAGCGCTCGCTCAGCGCAGGTTGTGTGAAAACTTGCTCTCGGCGCGCGACATCATCGGGACGGTCCACGTCTCGGCCCCTACGCTGTCTTAGGACGTCCAGGTTTTCCTCGCATGCACGTTTGAACCACTTTGGACATCCTTCCTCGAATTCGTGTAGCTCAAGAATCTGCTCCTGGGAGTACGAGCCGTATTCCTGGGCCCACTCTCTAGTGTTTCCAGCTTCATCTTCGTCCGAGAGATTTTCATTTCCCTCGGCAGATTCGTTGAATCCGCGGGGGCCCCTAGCTAAGCGCGCCTCATCCCAAATGATCTCAGTTACACCGTGGCGGAATTTGTCGTGGCCTGCTATACAGCGAAAGACTTGGACATTTAGTGGGTTGGCGGATAAGAAAACGCGGTCGATGCGTAGAATCGACGCATTCTTAAATTGTACACATGAGAGGCGGAGATTCTTGATGTCGGAGTTGGATAGATACGATGATATGCATCCCCATAGCTCTAAAGGGAGGGCAGGGAGAGTGGCGTAAGCCATGAAGTGATAGAGATGAAGTGATAAAGATGAAGTTGTGGAATGGTCAGGATCACGGGAGTAAGCCACTTCCTCCGCCCCTCCCTCCCCTCCAGCTTCGGTCGATCCCAGTCCTAGGGCTCCACTTTTCATTTCTTTGGCTACAACATACTTAGCGATTAGTAGCTTTCCTAGTGCCCATAGCCTGCAATGACCTGACTCTCAACTCACGAACGACTCTGTAGGGTATCTCGGAATATGGCATAATTTCCTTCGCCCCTGGAATCCAGAACCGCAAAGGTAATTTCTTCAAACACGCCAATGAACTCCCCTTCCTCCAAAACATCGCGGAAAAGCAAAGCGACCTGCAACGGGGGGTTCTGAAATGCGCCACAGCCCATTGCCCCAAGTACGCAATGGGTAACATTGTTCACTGCGAGGACACGTAAAGTCTGTTTCATTTTCTCCCTGACTGTCCGAATGTCTTGTGGACGCGCTGCTTAGTGTCAGCATCTGGCCGTAAATTGCAAGGTCTTTCCGGGAACATGCCAAAGTTGCGCCTATCTGGCGTCAGGAGAGGCCGTCTCATTGCTGCTAAGCTGACGACACCCACGGTAAACATTTCTGCTGGCTCATAAATCCGGCAGCCCGTGCTCACTTCTTCTCTGAAGACAACTACATTCGGAGACCAGACAGCACCAAACACTGTAAGAGGATAGAATCGCTTATGTAGTGTCACAGCTAGTGTGCTCCGAAAGCATAGCGCCTCCTCCTGCGCCAATGCTCCCCGAAGCCATCCTCCTCCAGGGTGTTTCTCACTGGCCATATTCAAGACCCCGATCTTGGCAGTAGGGTTGGTGTCTAGGATGGCTCTGGCGGCCGTAAAGCTGTCGCTATTTTGGACTGTAATTCTTGGCGGTGATGAATTTGGAATTGGATCACGTCGTGGTAGCTGCATTGAGTAGTAAACGGACTCTGTTGATGCATCTGCGGAGCTGATGATGTGCGAGGTGAGTCTGCGGGTTTCCTCCGCTAAGGCCTGGCGTTGCACCTTGTTTGGAGGCGAGGATGCATTTGAAATTGTCATTCTGTAAAATCGCGGAGATAACGAGGTGAAGTTCTTGATTCAAATCTGTCAGTTGGGGGAAATGAACCCTTCTTATATGCGTTGCATGACTCACGGTGACGAGCAAGGAATACGAACCGGTGGGCCAAGGCAGACAGCGATCCGCTCAACCAAAGTCTGTGGGTTCGATATTTGAAAGCGCTCGCAGCAATCGGAGGCACAAATTGAATATCTCATGTCCCATGTCATATTGATAGTGACGCTAGAATTTTCCGTGTCCTTTTTGTTTCAATAATCTCAAGCTCCAGCCACAAGGATGATTGACGTATGGCAAAATGCCAAGCTTTTCCGGGGAACTCTAAGGACGGAAAGCGGGGTTTCAGATTAATCACCATCTTCTATTGGCCTAATTTGATCTACGCTTATGATAAGTCCAACCCACGCGACCGTACAACGTGAAAACATGCAACCCCGTCGTTCGCCAATTGTGCGATAAGCCCATACTCCCAGTCAAGATACCCTTGCATATCCTTGCGAGCATTGCTTGTCCCTTCATACGGTCTTCTATACACATCGATTGGCTGTGACAGCCACCGTGACTCGGTCTCGAGGGGATGACCGGCAGCTACCCAGGCCATTGTCCCTCCCGCTAAATACAGCACTTCTCGTGAGATTGATTTGCGTGCCTCGTCAATATTCATCGCCGCAACATCACCATCGGGCGAGGTCAGCACGATAGGGCCGTCACCGTCGATAGGTCTCAAATCTCGGGCAAGCTCGGGCCCAGAAGCAAACCATGCGCCTGGAATGTGGCCTTTGCGATAGGATGGACTACGGGCGAGATCGACCACAGCCGCTCCTGCGAGATTTTGAAGGTCATTGATCGTGATAGAGCTGTTCTTTGAAGGATGCCATGAAGGGACCTCAGGGAACGCAAGCCCATCAGGCACTGAGGACCGCTCTTCAAAGACATACACCTCCCATCCGAGTTGTAAGAGCCAGCTGGCTGTCATGCGCGCTCGCACACCATCCGTATCGTATAAAACAATGCGAGCTCCTCGAACGCCCACCCATTCATCGGTGGCTTGTACCAATTGGCCACCAGGAGCATTGGAGAAGCCGGTCGGGTGTCCGAGGGCGTACTCCTCGGGATCTCTCACATCTAACAGGTACAGAGTCCGGTCTTCCAACTCCGCGGTAAATCGAGTGAGCTGATCGCCATCAATAGAAGACACGCCGACGTGATTTGCCCAGGATTCAGCGTATTGCCGTGCCTTTTGCGATGCCTCGACTGAAGGTCTCGGAACCTGTTCCCTCTTTTGGGTCTCCAGTTCCAAACCCTCCAATGTCCACCCAATCGTCCCATTTCGGAGCGCAAATACGTTATTCAGAATTCCGGAGTTGATCAAAGATTGGGTGCCAACAATACTCCGCGTTCGACCTGCACAGTTGACGATCACTGTGGTTTCTGGGGATGGTACGGCCTCAAAAAAGCGATACAGAAGTTCTCCGCCTGGACAGCTGCGGCCACGGGGAATGCTCATGGTATTATACTCCTCAAAACGTCTGGCATCCAGGACAACCACATCATCCTCACTCTCCAGAACATTCTTGACGTCCCGCGCAGATAAGGATGGGGTGTGGTCGATGGATTCGACAAGCTCGCCAAACGCCTTGGATGGCACATTGACATCGCGATAGACCTCGCCAACAAGAGCGTAGCCAGAAAGGCCGCCTGTCAAAATGGCAATATCCTGATACCCCAGGGCTAATATCCGGGCAATAGCCCGATCTACATAACCCTCGCCATCGTCGTATACAACAATCGGGGCCGACAATCGAGGGACTAGTGGAGGCAACTTCTTCTCGATTTCCGAAACTGGCACACTTAATGCGAATAGAGGATGGGCCTCGGAATAGGGGCCTTCTTCACGGACGTCAAGGAGGGCAATTTCATGATGATTTACCCAATGCTGGCGCAACTCGTGTGCGTTTATAGATTTGGTCATTTTGTTCAGATGCTAAAATGACAATTCCCTGCTTATTTGAAACGGAGAAGGAATCGGTCCCAGAGAAGCGGAGTTGCCCGGCATCTCGGGTGTTTTTTCTCGGAGGTTTTTGGAGGAACCCACGATATTCCAAACATTGATATTCAGAAACTCACGCGTTTCTTGAGATTTTATTCTTTTCTACAATTGATGCATTTCATCCTAATCCCCGAGGGAACGATGCATAGAATGTTGTTCCGCAAGAGGCTGCTCCTGGCGTACCCCGCTCGAAGCTCGGTTGACGCCATCTCAGCGCAGGATGACCAATCGTTCCACCTGGACATCACCTGGGCAGCTTCCGACACCGGTCCTGTCCCTGTTAGATCAAACTAACATGGGATATGGGATGATCAAGCTAGTTGCAGATGCCGTTTCGTGATACTCATGTCTATAATCTATTCTTTTAAGGTGTCCCTGAAAACTATGAAAGCCTCACGTGGTACATTTGGTGCCTACTTTGGTGGGCGCTCCTATGTCTTTCTTCGTATCATGAACGAGAAGTCGGTGAAACGTTATTCAGTTAATCCAAGTGGTTATTTAGCTCTTGCACGTCGACTGCACACTGTGGCAACCGTTCAATTTAGGCTTTCCACAAGAGGAAGGCAATTTCCCAAGCCGACAAAAGCATGAGGATGTGATTTCAACATCTGCCTCCACAAGAGCAAGGGAAAGCTGTTTCTTGATAATATTCCCTTCCGCATGGCGACCCAACAGCTGAAGACACTCGTGATATCCATGCAAAGCCCAAACGTTATTTGGGTGTTGATGCGCACGTTTGGGTGTAGGGGATAGCCCCAAGTCTTCAGCATAAGCCTCTGCAGCCTGCTCAACTCTTCCCTGTTCCAATGAGAGCGCTGCATATGCATGTCGAGCTGGAAGCATCCACCCCCATGGTTCTGCGAAAGGCAGCTCGTCTTCCAGAGTTATTGCTTCCCGTAATCTGGAGAATGCTTCGTCACAATCGCCTTTTCTATAACCAATTTCGCCATCCAGCATCGCAGATGCTACTTTGAGAACGTCGGTGATTTTGTTGGGGAAGTCGAGGCGTGTGGGAGGGACAAGCTTAGAAGCGATTTTGAAAAGTTCTCGTTCTTTGTCGGCTTCCCCAAGCTGAGACGTGGCCGCATAAGCGATAGCCTTTCCATAGTGTCTCATGACATTCGTGACACAATAGAGGTCCTTATCTTCGAGTGGGTCGAGCTTCTTGAGCTCCTCCCACATCCCAAAGCGAATGAGCACATGAACTCTGACGGCCTTGAAAAATTCCATCCAGTTCGCAAGTGCAGGCGTTTCGACCCGAAGGATCTCTTCCGTGATAGTCGCCTCCATTCGATCCGTAGCTGACAACGCTGCCTTGGACTTCCCACCAAGCATCGCAGCGTAGATGAGGGAGTGATAGTCGTGTAGACGGTAGTAGCTGTAAAATGTCAAGCCGCCATTCTTTTCAAAGTATTTATCGTCTGCAACGGTCGCTTTCAGATTGTATTCGACAGCGCGTCGATAATCGCCCACAAGAACATCGATATGGGCAGGCATGTGGAAGGTGTGGCCTGTATCGGGAAAGATCTCGCGGATCATCTCTGCTGCGGGCAGAGCAGCCTGGGGAGTCGCCGACATTTCCATCAGGTGGATATACATGTGCGCGGGACCAGGATGCAGTTCAACTTTCGGCATCTTTAAGGCCCGATCGAGTAGGTCTTTCACTTCGAATACCGGCGAGGATTCTATCGGGAGTCCCGTGGAGGCGTCGTATAGCTTTCGCGGAGCACAATTCATCAATGCATCGGCGAAGAGTGTGATAATGTCGAAATCCTGGCGACCGAAACTTCTATACACATCCCTCATAGCATCGGCGTACGCTCGGCTACATCTGGCAAGATCCCTACTTGGGTCATCGTTGGGGTAACGTTTTGCAAGAGCTTTGATGAGCGCTTGCTCCCAATCTGATGCATTGTTTGTCCGCCTTAGAGCTTCTTGGGAAAATATATAACACTGCTTGATCGCATTGAGACGGTCTCTTTCGTCGAACAGCGCCCATGTTTTGTTGTAATTGGAGCCTGAGCAGAAGGATATCCCCCAATAGGCCATGACGCAGTTCTCATCGTGCGCGATTGCCTGTTTGTAACAGGTGATCGCTTCATCATGGTTAAAGCAATATGTCCAGACAAGGGCTCTGTCGAACCATATCTGGGCTTCCTGGGAGCTGGTACTGACTTTGCGACTGAATGTTCCCAGACCAAAGTAGGGGTCGCTTGAGGCTCTTGCGCCCAGTTGGGTGTCGAGGGAGCCCATTGTCTAAACTAGATGAGTCGAGTACCAGCTGCGATGTGCGAGTAACCTTACAACGAATAGGGAATAATCTTCAATCTAAAATAGCACAGCAAGAAGTTCCCACAAATTGCGGGGGATATTAGGAGTCGGAGGGTTTTTAGTCGTGGCGGTCAGATTGGCCGATTTTGATTCGACTCTCGGACTTTTTTGGAAGTGCATGACTTGGAGTAATTGATAATTGGGGTAACTAACATCGTGTACATATAATATCCTTTTTACGAAGTGGTCTAAGTCATGTGTGATAGCTAAGTACATAATACCCGGGTTGTTATTTATTTATTTTTCTCTTTTATATTGTGGATGAGTACCTTCCTCGACAGTGTCAGCCTTGTCAGGAAGGAGCCTCGAGCCAAAATATTTCCATGTAGCTGCCTAAGTACGTACTCACTTCTCTCCTTAACCTTCTCAACTCCCTTTGCCAAATATCATCCAAGTCCCAAATCCTCTAGGCTACTTTTTTGGAAATGGCCACGCCACCTCTATCCTCTCGTGCCGCTAGTGAGTGGCACGATCGCGTGATTTGGGACTTTGAGTACAAACTTGAGCGAAAGTTTCCATCCGGCATCGAAAATGATTAGAGGGTCTCTGTGTCAGCTCTAATTGTACGTCAACAATATTGACAACTGAACAAGATAGCTGACCGTAAAGTGACTGCCTTTCCCCTGGTGATATACAGCCTCAGTTCAAAATTCCGGCATTCCGTGTGCGTTCGGCTTAGGCCTCAAATCAGTTCAAATCACCCCATCGCACCCAGGGTTTGCCCCACCAGTCTACGGTATCTCCTCCAGGCAGAGTCAGAACAAGCATGCCAACAACGTGTGATATGCCAACGGCTGCAGAGATGGTTGCCTGGATGATGCACGATGAAAGGAACGGCCGAATTTTGACTTTCATTGGTAAGTGTGATCAGATCAGATCATTATCGCAACCATTGTGCTCTAACCAGCCCTTATAGACGCCTCCTTATCTCACAGGACAATCATGAAATGCTCCTGTGCCTGGGACAAAAAGGCTAAACGCTCGGGGTTGAATTTTGATAGTCAAATCCGAGATTCTGGAATCCCTGGATCTTCGCTCCAGCTCCTTGCTGTCGTCGCGGAAGTTGCAGTGTCGGAGTCGAGTTCCCTCCTCTGCTCCTCTGCTCGCTGCCAGCAAGCCACTTGCGTTGTTGACAACGGCTCCTTTAGAAATCCCGACTGTCACTTTTTGCCCAAGAGACTGGAACGAATAAATGGCCCTTGGTTGTGGTGGAATCCAGTCTTTCAGAAATCCCGTCCAAGTTGATGTCAGATCCGCGCTATTGGCTTACCCAATCTAACCGGGTAGTCCAAACATCCCATGAACTTCATGGCAAGTTTCGGCAAGGTATTAGGACCTT